CATATATAATTTTTGATGAATTACACATTTCACTGATTATCAACAATTGAAATATATATGCTCTTTGTGTTAGTGTCAGTGGATCTTTGCAAATGGAATGGTCCATGCCATCACTTATTTCGGGAGACTGGTAGACAAGAAACGGGTGAAGAGACATTGCGGTTACGATACCATTGTACCATAGCTGCATAATAAATAAAGGTAACGATAATTTGAATGCGAGACGATGTCCCACGTTTTAATGTACAAATATTTTCGAATGAGATAGTTAAATAAAACGCAGTTAGATCAGAGAAAATGATTCGTTCTCGTAAGTAGTAATGGGTTTAACTTCCGAAAACAAATTACAGTAATAGCAGTATTAAAATAAAAAAGAAAACTGCTATTTGTGGACTGAATCCTGCTACATTGAATCCAAGGAGATGGGATGGACTGTATACACACTTGTACGATAAATCCAATTTATTCAATTGGTTAAATGAAAGAAATAACAAAATTTAAGTATACTCCGTATATAATGATACGTAAGTCATACAGCAATTTATTGTATTGTTTACAGACCATACCACCTCCAGAACTCTGTTATTCTACGATTTTATACACAATCTGCTGCTGTATTTACACGTGTTGACTTCAAGATAGTACCTTGACGATCATGTTGACAAAGAACTATCTTAAAGTACAGGTGCCTGAGCAAAAATGAGTACTTTAGCGTTCATAGTATACAATAATACACTGTAAGCATAGGTCCATTTAATTTTATTAATACAATAACAAGCCCCGTTTGCAACATGTTCAAAAAATATGAAAATGGACTTACGTTGTGTACTTTGAGCCAGAGATCACGGAACTCTTCTCTGCTCCAGTATTTGACGTGATTCTGAAAATTATTTACTGGTGCTAACGGGTCTTACAATCAATCAGGCTGAGCGCCCAGATACCGTTACATCCCTACATTTGTTAGGTAAGCATAAAAAGAATTTAAGAATCTTAATGAATCTGGTAATGAAACATGTCATACGATTAAACGTAAACAAAATCTTAGGCTAAGAATTTGGTTTGTGTGTTCATAAATCTTGTTCAAACTACTTTTGTACAGGATACCATCGCATCATCACTTTCGACATAACAGTAACCGATACCACAGACTATATTTCTGCCCATTCCATCAGAATTGAACTTTCATTGTATTTTTAAGTAAATACATTTTGGAAAACAACAGATGTTTTTTTATTCTTCACGTATCTGTGAAGGAACGCGTCTTTCCCTATTTAATACTTGACAATTAATCGACAACTTATTTTTTCGAAGATAATTTAGACTAAGATTGTTTTTACGTACCTTCTATGTACATATAAATTAAGAATTATGTAGTTATACTATGTAAATATAAAATAGCAATTTACAATAGAATATGTACGTAATATGTGATACACAAGATTAAATATTACTGAATTTCAATATCTATGTTTATTTACACGTATAATTGTATGTAAAATTATAATGTATTCTTAGATGTAACTGTATATAAAGTAAAAATATGTACTTAAGCATAATATTATTTGTATCTGATATTGTTTATTTATAAAATAATTTCTGTAATTAATAGTGATTTTAAGATAATAATACCGGATAAAGATACCAGGTAAATTGTAATTGATAACAAAATATTACAAATATGTGTAAAATCTATGATGGAATGCAACCATAGTACATAATATTAAAATTTAAGGTAAAAATTTTTTTAAATGTGAATCGACGTACCTGGACGGAATATGTATTATTGGAAATTTTTAATTGGATACATATTATTAGAGGTATAGCAGTCAAATATTACCCCTAATATAAAAATTAATATACCATTTACAAAGGAATTTGTAGTAAATATATAAATGTGTAAAAAATAAAAATCAAACATTTGTATAAGAGTATAAGATGTGTAATAGAAATATTTGCGGATATTTATTTTAGCTAAGCAATTTGTACGAATATTGCATGCAGATTGTCTTACAATATATACACAATATTTTCTTCACTTATGAGTTTTATTGTATACAATAATAATTCATATTGAGACATTTTGCATGCATGTCAAGACATAGATTTCGATACATTTTGATCACAGTCACAGCATTTTATATACTTAAATGAATATTTTTAATTCGTAATATTGAAAGTAAAGAATTTTAGAAATCATATAAAAATATTAACAATGTTTAAAACTTATTATCGAATGAAAAGTAATTTAAAAAATTACACAGTAATATACTGCGATACAATCACAACCATTTAAATATTAATTACATGATATATTCATGCAAAGAAATTTTCTTTCAGAGAATAATATTTATATAACATATTTTTTACAATGTTATGAAGATTAATAAAATATACAGCTTTTTAGTCAACCTCCCGCGTTGGTTTATACATATTATTTAAAGTATATAATTCCTGAATAGTGTTATTAGCAATTCTTGTAAAACTATCGGTCATGTTATTACTTTCTTCAATATTGTTTGGTTCTGCGTTTATTCCTTTATTTGTTTCCGGCTAGATTTAATTATAGATTTAATTTCTTATTTATTAGTAAATGATAAATAGAAATTTGTATTAATAACAATATTATACGTACCTTGGTAGAATCTGAAATTGATAATCCACTGGATAGATTTTCAGAAAGACTAATATCAAGATCGGCGAGTTCTGTCGAATCAAGTTGAGGAAGACTCAAATCAAGATTATACTGTGTGTTGTCCATACTTAAAATATTTGTAACATTTGTCGCTTCCATTTCACCTACTATATGAATTATTTAAAAATTACAATGATGTATAGTTTGATATAATAATAATAATGAATATAAACACTTATACTACCAGCATTGTTCAACGATTGAAATTCTTCGTGATAGTTTGATGTTACTTTGCTTAACGTTAATTGTTCTTGCGGCTGTATTTGTAACGTGTCATGTACATATGGAAATTGTTGTTGTGTATACGTTTTGATTGATGGTTGTTGTAAGATATGACTGCTTGTTGATGGATATTGAGGTGATGGTTGTGATTGAATAAGTGCTGGATTGTATAATCTGTACTCCATTGGCGATGTACGATCTGGCGATATTTGTGGCCTGTACAACGTATTAAAATTTCTTCAGATCCATTGTTCTGCATATTATCTCATTTTTTTAAATGATACAAAGCTTTGTGTTACCTCAACGTTTGTATAGTAGATTGCGATTGTGGAGAAGTTGTTGCCATCGGATACAAGGATGGAAAAGATCCTCCACTTCCAATTGGATATCCATAAGGAGATATCCTTTCCGTCGGCTCTGATTTAATAATATTAAAATTGTATTGATTTAACATTGCAGCATCTACAATTGTGATAAAACAAATAGAAATTTATTACTATTAAAGATTAATTAAAATAATACAAATTCATTATTCACATTTTGTTACTTTATACAAACGATTTAAATTTCTCTTGAATGTCATTTCAGTATATGTTATATTAATTTTAATAAATTAATTTTAATAAATATATAATATGCTTAAATTGAATATTATCGAAATGAATCAAAAAGAAAATACATAAAATGATTAAGAAGCATATAAAAATTTTTATGATTAAGAAGCATAAAAATGGAAATGATCAAGCAACATATAAAAAGCAAAAGTTTTGAAGTAAAAACGAAGGATTAATTACAAAAGATGCATGCAATTTTATATATTTTCACTTCAAACATTATTCGTGAATATCTTTTATTAGAATTAAAAATACAGTCAATATGATTAGCAAATATTAACAAATTAAACTAATATTTTTATTGTCGTACCTGAATATTTTTTATATATAATATTCTTTTGATCTGAAATTGATTGGGAACAGAATAAAAACACGTAATTTTTATCATTAAATAAGTATGTATATATATATAGATCAATATATTCTGTATATATGTATAAGTCATACATTATATAGATTTTTCTTTTTCAAAGCAGTTTATAAAAATTTGTATTGCCATACAAATATTGCACATAATTTCCGCTCTTATTATTGTATTGCTAAATATTTAAATACAATATTTTAATACGAGAGCAGGATACTTGTATATTATTTAAACTGTAAAAATTAAGCCCGCTTTTGTCAACGTTATTATCATTAACAACATACTTTTCTCGTCGCATTAATGGATATAAAAATGCATCCATTCGTGCAATCACCAGTAATAATTACAAAAATACAATTTTCTCTTCAAATGTACAAGGCCATTGCCATCCAAAAATTTAAGTACAAATTCCAACTATTTATACAAAATACATTTTTAAAAAAGTATAAAACAAGATTCTTCAGTGCGTGAAAATATATATATATATGTATATATATATATATGAATATAGTATTTCTTAATACAATGAAGATTCTAATTTATGAAAAAATATCAATCTTTGCACAACGGAAATTTTTTATCATTTTTTTATGTCAATCTTCTAGATTATTAGGCACTTCTATTATTGGACGAAATTCAATAGACAAAATATATAATAATAAATATAAGAAATTTTTAAATTTAAATATTTCCAATGTGCAAAGATATTAGATTAATTATATAGTTAGTATGATGTGACTTAAGAGCGCTGAAACATAGATATTTCGATAAATATATATTCGTGATTCATAAAAATGCTGTAAACATTCTCCAAATGTACAAGTTAGTCCAAATTTTTGGGACTTCCAACAAATTTTTTAGATTCATCAATACAATTATTATTATTACAACAAATAGGGCTGATAAAACCCATCAGAAAAATGCATAACATGTTGATGACTCGCATCACAAAGTCTTGCTAATTTTTTTTTCTTGCATATAGAATAAATGTGAACGCGAATATTAGTAATTACAAAGAAGTAAAATCAGCAATTTCGCATAAATGTAGCACAATGTACATTTAGAAATTTTGACGTTGCGACGATGCTAATGATATCATTTAAACCCACTCCCGGCAAAGCTGTAGAATTGAAGACAATTTGATAAAAAATACTCACGCTTCTCAGCTTCTGCCTGTACATGTCTCAAAACTAGCGCGTTTTGGCTGTTATTAATCTTTTGTCTCTTTCGCCTTAATGAATCAGGATCATCTATAAATGATTGTATATTAACCACATGACTTTTAAATATTAATATATCAATTTTTTCTGAAGACAACAAACCTATAAATTTTGATCTAAATTTTTTTTTAATCTTTAAAAATATTATATCTGAACAAATGATTAAGTCAGTGGTTCAAAATAAGTATAAGTTACAAACAAATAAAAAATCTTAAATATAAATAATTAATTTTAACTATAAATTAAGTGCTTATTCTAAGACTAGAAACAAAGTGATACCTATAAACTTGGAACACTATATAAAAACTTAACAATGTGTCATAAATAGTAAAAAGCAATGCACAAGATTAAAGATATGTATAATAAGTAGCAACACTATAAAATTTGACTAGAAGAAACACAAACTCTTTGATGATAAATAACAAGTTTCAGCTGATTTTATATTTCAGCTATCTTTTTATATAAAAGACTATAGAAATAAAATAACAATTTGTACTCTGACTAGAAAAAATAGTACTGCATTGGTTTCAGAGTATATTAATCAAGGTAGCATAATAAAAATTGCTACATGTACCTTTTTTAAAAAATGAAAAAAATATAAAATATATCTTATGAACGCAAACACACTCAAATTACAAAAATTTCATATTATCGTAAGTAAATAATTTCATTCAATCATAATGCTTTTTGTTTCTGAAAATTAGCAATTATTTGCTATAACATCAGCATTTTTTCTACTATAATATTTGAAAAAAAATATCACTCTTAAATGGAAGTAGGCTAAAAACACATTAAGACACATTAAGTCTCCTTTTTTTCAGAGTAAATCTTTCCATCTTCCACAGGACTATAATAGAAAGACATTTCATCAAATTCAGAAACAGTTGCGTGCGGCGCCATAGCAGTATATAAGGCATAATGTTCAGCTTCTGTTAATTCCATTCCATACGGTGGTGTTTCATCGCCTTCCAATCTAAGTGATTTTACGCTAGTAGTACTTACTACACTAGTTCTTGGAATTTGTAATTGTGAATTATTTGATGTATTGTTTGTTGTCAAATATGAAACATTTCCTGTAGTAGTCAAAGATTGAGTAGTTTCTTTGGGTACATTTAAAATTGTGTCTTTATCTTTTTTCACTTTTTTTGCAAATAATTTTGAAAATAATCCTTGTTTCGAGTTTTTAGTTAAAGTACTAGGTAAGGAAGGTAAAGTTTTATTTGGTGCTTCAATAAAAGAATCTGGTGTAGTATGACAGGATATAGGACGAGGTAAAAGAGGCATAGAAGGCATTTTTCGGATACGTTTTGGTGGTAAAGGCGGTAATCTTTCTTCTATTTCCTGCGTTCCATCTCTTTTCGTAGTCATTGGCGGAGAAGGACAAGATTGATTAGTATCTGTCTTTAGTACACACACATCTTCATATTTTCTCTCGTTCGATAAATCGGTAAATTCAATAGGATTTTTCATAGCCATTTGTAAACTAGTATAAGTCTGATTATCGCAAACATCAATATCCATAGTTTGATCGATTGTATTCTGTTCAAACGCTGCCTGCACTAACTTTGCATGTGTATCGGCATAAATTTGATCTAATTCTGCTACTTGTGTTAATAAATCATTGAAAGACTTATTATAATCTTCTGTCACTTCAATTTTAAAATCTATTTCATTTTCTTTCTCTTTGAGACATATTTGTCCTTTTTGTACCCATTTACTTACTTCAGAATAATCGAACCAATCAGATTTATCTTTAAATATTTCTGTATTTTTTAATACGCACGCGTTTTCAACAGTATTAGATTTAGGACGAGTTGAAATTTCTAAATTCATATCCTTCGTTTCTTTGTCTATATAATTGGGATAAGATTTGTACATTCTATTTAATTGTTCGTTTTCTATAATTCGTTTCTCTTCATTGATTGATAAATCATTATTTCGGTAATCTATAATAGTGTTTTTAGCATGATCTATATTTTGTGCAATATTTTGATTTATTTCCATACTTCCATTATAAGAATCTAATGTATTTTTCACATTGTACAAATCATTTAAAGCACGTAACGCAGAAATTTTATTATTCCATTTTTTTGTGTCGAAATCATTATTATTATATTCGTCAATATTACGCGGAAATTTCGGAGTAACGTTTGAAAACAATGTCGGTTCAGTAGCTAAAATTTTGCCAAATGAAGTATAATCTGTTTTCTTCCTGGCAAATGCTTTCCGTAAAGACCAGAAAGCAGGCCTACCTGCACCAAGAGGTAACATCAAAAAAGGAAATGGTTCGCTTGTTGCACCATCCGATGGTCTTTTAAGTTGAATATATACTTGCACTGGTTGTTCCACTTGCTGCATACGATAAGTCGGTGTTCTAAATGCAATTGCTGTCTATTAAGATAAATCAATTTATCAAATTAATATTAATGAAAATACAAAATTTAAGTAATTTTATATAAAAATCGAATTTCATACTTGTTTATGTACATGAACAGGTTGAAAATCACCAAATCCTTCCCAAAGTACTTGTCCATCTTTTTCTTCAAAGAATCTAACTTGTATATCTTCTTTTGCAACCTTTTCACATAATAAAATCATTTCCATACCACCAGCGACTGATGCGTTACTATGACTGAGTTTGCATATCACAAGATCTGACATTGCCTCTTAAATATTTAATATTTAATTATTTAATACATAATCAAATAATTAATATCTTGATAAAATATAATTAATCTGAACATACTTTTATCAAATATAGGGTCAGATACTACTGGTTGTAATGGCACATTGAATTTTCTTTTCTGTGATCCTTCTAAAAAAACTTGAAAGCATAATCTCACTGCATTGAGATCAATACTAGTAGGTTGTCTTTTGTGTTCGAAGCCAGCTAATAAAAAATTAAATGTGATTTGTTTTGTGCCAAATATAGTTAAATAAATCTACTGAATTTTAATTTACTTCGAAAGGGATCTACACGAATTTCTTCTCTTATTTTAAGTGCCTCTTCAATATCTTTTTTTTTTACACATTGAATCCCAAGATTTGCAAATGTAACTGTCATATTCTCTGATGAAACTTCTACTGTACAAACACCTTGTTTACATGCTTCCTTTCCAACAAGATTATGAGGATGAGGTCTGTATGGTTGATCTTTTGTTACACATGATACTACAACTAGAGCTCGACCTTTATATCCAACTATCTGTAATCAATATTAATTATATATTATTAATTAATATTATTATATATTGTTTTTTTTTGTTCTTACTTTTATAGTAGGAAATGTTTTATTTTCTGATGTACTGTTTACACCAGGTATACTACCAGCTGATCTGCCTTCACATTCATAGCGAAAACGTAAAGCTTTGCTTGCCGGTTGTTCTATTATTTCAACATAAGGCAATAATCGTTCTGTGTTCATTTCTCTTGGGATTTGATCTTCCCTCCCATTATATTTAGTATCAGTTTCAATGACTTCAACTATATAAACAAATTATGAAATAAAATATGTAAAATGTAATTTATGAAATTTATATAAAAATATAATAAAATTTTCAATACTTACTGACATCACTCATATGTATATTTCCATCACTCATATCATGGAATTGTTCCATGCCTCTTATTGTTTAATACATTGAACAATAGTCATCTGAAAAATAAATTTTTTATCATATTATGTTATTAAAATAATTTCTATTTTATTGTATTTCTAATATCTCTATTATACAAATTATCTCTATTATATAAACTTTTTTTTAAAATAATACTATTAGAATAATTATATAGAATATAAAATGATTGTAAAGTAAAAATATACCAAAAAATTTTTTTTATTCTTTTATGTATATTTTGAATACTTTATCAAAGTGAAAGCAAAAATTAACCACATGATTTAACTCTTGACAGAAACTTCATAACATTATGTAGAAAAAATTTCGCGCGCGTTTAGTTAAGATAAATGGAAATATAATAATTGGATAATAATAAATACCTAGGAAGAAATAAAATGTATAGAAGAAAAATTGATTTTAAGATCAATTTTTTTGATGTAAAGAAAATTAAATGTTCATAAATTCATGAATCGTTCATCTTGGTAGAAAAACATATTTATATCGCAAAAGATGTCGTATAGATGATGATTGATATAAAACGTATTAGCTATAACTTTTGATTAACACTAGCGAGTGAATCAAACATATATTAATGAACATGAATAAAAATTTGTTAAATCTTTAGCAAGAAACGACAGCTGTTCACAGGTATACTTCTAAAGACACTGCACACAAGTGTCCCAAGTCCCAAGGGAAGAGAAACGAGAGTAGAGAGTGAGGAGGGATACCATGCTGATCCAATCATTATTTTGGGAAAGCCTAGCTTCGTACAAGCCGTGCAGCTATAATTAAACTATCGTAGGACAATGTGACGAGAAAGACTTGCCTGCAGCTTGATCAACATAGTAAGGCACTTTCGAATCTGAAAGCACGCGCACTGTTTTGAATAATTCTGCTAATAGGAAATGCTTATATTCTTGAAATTTTTTTATAAAACACACACTGTGCTAAATAAATTGAAGAAACGCGATGTGTTAATGTTTAAATCTATAATTGAAATTCTTTTATTTGTCAAATATTGTTGCGCACATTATTTGCACGCGACATGAAAGCATGCACAGCCGTGACTAGAGACAAGACTTTATGCGGCATAACATTTTGCTCGGACTTTGTATCGATACTGACATGTCCGTTGCTTTTAATGGTAGAAGCAAAGCAATATGCTATATGCTTCGCAAATATGCGCAAGTACGCGAACTCTGACGGTTCTATACTCACAGCCAATTCAAAGTGAGTGAACGTGTGTTAACATGATATATTACCTTTTGATTATTTCCTTGAAATCCATAGATCTGATGACGTCGAATTTTTTAATTTCTTAATTCTTAATTCTAATTCTCTTCATATTTTTCATATTATCTTTTATATTGATTGCATTTCTTTTTTTTGCATATTTTTAAGCTTGAATTTGTGAGTTAAAAATTATTAATAAATTACGTATGTTTAGCGTTTTTTGGCATAAACGTATTAAATATCTTATATCTAAAATAAATTTGTGTCTAAGGTTCAGCGAATTTATCATATGTAGATTAAAATTTTCAGGGACGTAGATAGGTTACCAGAGACTAGGTACTTGGTGTCGGATGAGTCATGCAGACACGTCACATAATTCTGTTTTATCATGTGAAATTGTAGAGCGTTAGATAATCAATCATATCTATTTACTTGAAATTATATAAAATATTATTTGTTATAAATGTTCGATAACTATCATTTATATTTCTTTTATATATTATAGTTTTGGAAAAATCAATTTCATTATATTTTTTGATTTTAATTATCCTTAAAAGTTTTCGTAAATTATTTATTATATTATATATAAAGTAAATTTGAATTTTTGAAACATTTTAGAATGCAAATAAAATTTACTTGCTTGTAATTTGCAATTATACTGTAAATCAGATCTATGATGCATTACATAAGTTTTAATCGCTCCTTACGCTCATCGTATTGTAGGTGTATTCAATTTATGCAATTCTATGAAGTAGATATGCAATCGTACGATTAATTCATAAGTTATAATAGTTAAAATAAGAAATTAATGAGAAAAGCATTCATCATGGACAATGTGACTTCTTTATTTGGTTAAAAATATTACTGTTACTATTTGCAAGAGTTACGATGCTTTTTTGTCATCTCTTACTCTCACTCGTTTTGTCTCCATGACAAGAGCAAACAACATTAATAATTTTTGTAAAGAGTTTACTCGTGAACTGCAAGCGTGATGCCAGAAACTGCGATCACTCCGAAAAGCTCGTCTTCCCTGAGTGTTTCAATAAGCTCCAGGGAAGAATCGAATCAATGTTTTACCAAGAAAAGATTGACGCGATGCATGCAACATAAATTTCTTACATATTCGCAACTTCCCATAAGATGTCAGAAACCCAGCCGATACTATCGTCCGCCAAGGACCTCCTTCAGATTGGCAAATCTCACAACCATCAATCATACAGCTACAATTAATACGGCGAAAAGTTGTCCGGACAGTTCAACATGTTCGATATTACGCGCAATCAGTGCGTCACGTTACAAAAAGAGTTTATCCATGATTGACTTTTCACCTTTAATAATGGATACTGAATATGGCGATTTTAGGTAAAATTTATGAGTAACTTATAATAATTTGAATACAATTGATTCTTTTGTAATATAGATCGGACAGTAGTTCAACTATAGAAAAACTTGATGAAAGTGATAAAATGAAAGATACTATTGGTAATGAAATGGGTGTCGGTATTGGTATCAAAAAGTGGATGGATGGATTCGTAACATCAGAACCGGAGGAATCGTATTCCCAATTCTTTCAAAATCCAAAGAAAGCAGCAATTTTGGTGTGTCATGTGCTTATGTTAAATGCATGGAGACGCAGACGCAGCGATGTTCAGTATCTTAACAGCACAATTGACGATTTAAGCCAGCAAATTGAACATTTGCATCTACAAATTGTCGTTTTGCGTCGATTGCTCGATACGGAGAACAGTCGTGTCAGTAAATTGACCAGTGATGTTCACCGTGCCAAAATGCAATTTGATGAAGTACTGAAAGAAAGGAATACTCTGAAATCGGTAATTTTCTTAATACATATTTAAAAATTGATAAGTTTTAGCAATTATGTGAAACATAATTAATTAATTGAAAAAAAATAATATCTTCACGTATTTAACATAAAATAGTAACAATGTGTGCATGTTAGGAATAAGACCTATACATTCAACATTTTGCGGACGATGAACATGAGAGTTCAATGACGTGTATCTAACTAGAGGGATGACGCTAGCATAAGAGCTCGCAATACGACTTTTGGGACACGCAATAATATATGTAGTTATAGAGACGATCGAATTTTCAACATTCCTTGAATAAACTAAAATATCTTTCAAACAAGTTCAATAACTTACTGTTACTTTTATATTAACAAAAATTTTCTACTTTTCATCTCATTCAAATTTTCTTGTACATTTAAAAAGAAATAATTTGTTATTCTAAATATTTATAATATTTGTTTATAAATGTTTATAAATGCATAAACATGCATTTATTTTGCGAAATGTAATGGAAACATGCGTCGTAGTCGAGTCATTAATTAGTATATACTATATACGCAAACGAGAAGTTGGCACCGGTCCAGCAGCTAATTGTGAAGCGAAAGAAGAAACTATATCGCGACGACACAGCATAGATAAAACTGGTTCTAGATACTTTCGAAAATTTACGAAGTTTAAGTTAGCATTGAGTTTTCACGAATTGGGTTCACCGTTTTCTTTCAGGAAAAAGTAAAATTGGATGAGGAGATCCAACGTTTGACCGAGCTTTCCGAGGAAAGGCAAGTTTCAACGGAGAATATGCGAAACGAATTAATCACCGCGCAAAATCAGCTTCAAGCGGTCGACGAACAAATGTCAAAGGATCGAGAAAAATTGCTGAAATTACGAGAGGATAAAAGGATACTTTTAGAAAAGGCTAGAACAGTTCTTGTATTATAATTTATAAATTATCTTTAATGATAAATGCAAGCTTATATATTATACCATTGTAAAAATTGATTTTTACTTAGTGAGTCATTGTTATGCTCGCGAGAAACGAATCTGCAAAGGGTGAATTCTCTTTCAATGCAGTTTTTTTTTTCTATGAACGGATGAGTCATTCGTTCACCCTTTCGTGCTTAGAGAACGATCAATCTAAAATGTTTACATATGTTACAACATATTTTTATGTTTCAAATTCCTATGATACAATTTTATTTATTTTTTATTTTAATATCATATCTTAAATATCTATGGATTAAGGATAGTAATAAGAGTATTTGATGTACTTAAACTTACTTTAGATAGGTCAATGCACGAAAGGACATAGAAGTTCGTGGTTGAGTCATACTCTTTCTACCTTATCGATGACTCAATAACATTATAATACTACTTTCTTACCGAGAAAAGCAATCGATATTACTTGACCTATTAATTCTTACTTGGAGAGTGTAGAATCAAAACAAAACTCGTGACATTATGTTTATTAGAAATAATAATACATTTTTTTTTTAATTTTTATAATTCTTGATTCTTTTTGTGAATTTTATCTTAAGAATAATCATTTATCGATTGTTGATTTGTTGAATACGTATGAAAGAAAAATATAATATTATTTCAGATAACGGCTAGCGAAACATTAGCGGCGGAACGAGGAACAAGAGCAGACAAAGCTGAATCAATCGTGGAGGATTTACAGATGAAACTTGCCACACAGATTGCTATGGTTGAATCCTCGCAGGAACAGATAAAACGATATTCAAAGTAAATTCAGTATACGTAAACAATTTACATTATTCCAATATAAATTCCTTTGTAGGGAATTGAAAGTTAAAGAGGATGAAAAAAACAAGTTAATTAAGCGCTTAAAATCATCCGAAGATGCAGGGAGAAATCTAAATATGCGCGCCATTTCTTTAGAAGCACAACTGGTTGACCGAGAGGTAGCCTTACAAAATATGCAAGCAGCGTATAATACGCAATTGTAAGTTTTTTTATTTCTTTTCTTTTTTTTGAGTGATATTATTTAATATTAAAATTAAAATTCGTTATATTAGAACCGAATTGAGTGAATTGAGAGAACGTTTAATACGTCAATCTCAAGAAGGGGGATGGAGTAGTAGAATGTTGCAATTAGCTGGTAGCGTTGTACGAGCGCCAAGGGCTATATTACGTACTTTACTATCGGGCCCAGTGTTGGTTTCCTAAAGATAGCTTGGTAAGTTCCACATAAAATTATAATATCTATTAATAAGAGCATAATAATCGTTTATTTTTATAATTTTTAGTTGCTGTTCTTGTTCAAGCGTGATTGCGTTAAACAAAGTGTTCACAAAATGGAATTTCGAGGGTGATGGTGTTGGTTGTTCGATAAGAGGAAAGAGAAAGGGAAGATTTTACGTGTGAAAAGAGATTTTACGTTGAGGAAAAAGAGATATATGTGATCGCAAAGAGACGAAAGGAACGAAAATCAGTTTCAAACTGGTAGTAAACTTTCCGGATACTTTTATCATCGAAATTATAATATTTTTTTATTTATATTTTTTTTTTTTCTATTCATATACTTTCTGATATCGTAAGCTATATAAGCATTTTAAATTGAAAAGAAATGATATAAATGATGATTATAAAAAAAGTTACTAATATTATGATATTATACTAATATTATGATATACTATAATAGAATACAGACAACTATTCTGCGAAACTGAGGATGGATAAATAAATGCAGATATTGTACATTTTTTAAATCTATATTTTATCTTTTTTCGCGTAACATGATAAAATGATAAAAATAAGATACCGTCAGAATCGCTCAATGAAGATGATTTATTTCTTTTTATTATGCAATTTCAATAAATATATTCAATAAGCAATTAATTATATAGACAATCTTAATTGATTGTATTTTACGTAACATTTAAGTATACATTTTTAACCAAGATAAATAAATTTTTGTAATAGAGCGATACTCATGGTATAATATTTTTTTCAAAAAAACACGTTACAATAGATCGTAAAATCTAAGTAACCACGTACGAGTGACACAAATACGACGTGTCTGATCACATTTCTTATTATTATGTACTTAAGTACAAGATAACATTGATTTTCATTTTGTTCGATAACAATATGATTTCTGCGGTATATTTTTTTATGCTTCTGCCAGTATAGTAAATATCCTTTCTTATTTGAGGCTTTCGTACGGTAAGTGAAGATACGGCACAAATTTCAGTGGAAGATTTGTTCTTATTATCACAAAATCGTTTTATATTTGAATTGTTGTTGGATGTAATTTTATGTAATATTTTCTAGACGATCTAAAACATCTTTTATGCATAGATTAATTCTGACAACAAATAATGTTGCCCTACAATCTTGAAATTCGGTCATACTCATTGATTTATTACTCTTCAAAAATTTATAAAGAAACATGAAAATAAAAAAAATACTTGGTGCATTTTTATTTGCAATAAAAAAAATTTGTAAAAATTATACTTATGGATGTAAAAAAAATCTCATCTTTGATTGCTCTGTAATATCAGAGTTTTCATTAAAAAAAAAGAAAAAAAAAATAAATAAAAAGAAGGAAATAAAAGACAATAATGAAAAAATAATACATTTTCAAAATATTTTTTTCTTCATTCATTTATATATTTCTAGCGAAGAGTAAAAGACAAAAATACTGATTAGGTGAATGACCTAAACCTCACAACGACCTTCTCAAACTTTATAATATATATAACTAACTTTAGCTAATTCGGCAACTATAAAAAAATGTTTCATTGTGTATTAATAAATTGTACAGTTGATTATATCGAATTTGATGGCTTGAGGAACGTGTATGTATCTATTTTTATGAGTAATAAAATTTAGAATATTTTAAACTATAACAAATCTTGATACAATAAATTGAGCAATTTTGATATTTCTATAAGATTGCTCTTTGTATCACCTTTTTATAAAAACGTTACCACAAGCCAGTAAAAATATTAATATCGTTATTTATGTTTTGAAATATATTGGATTGTTATATTGATAGTCATTTGCCAAAACGCAAAAAAAAAAAAAAAAAAAAAAAAAAAANAAAAAATTTTTTTTTCCTTTCTTTTTTTTTTTTTACGTATAAAAATGTGAGATAATTTTTTCTGATCTCGTAATACATATTTAAATAAAATTGTATTGATTACAAATAAAAAAAAAAAAAGAAATAAATAATAAAATTCGATAAGACTAGAACTTAATTGACATTTAATCTTTAAATCATACCAAATCCTTCAGTACCTTCACTAATCGCTAATAATAAAGCTCGCTCAAAGTGATCGTAACATTCATAATCGGGTAAGCAGAGCTGATTGAAGCTGTAAAAATATTTAAATAATTATTATTTTGAAAAATTACTATTACTATAATTAAAATATAAAATTACTTACCAAGTATGTGCTGTAGGCAAATTGGCAAAAGTTGGTGCTGCTGTAATTTGAAATCGTGGACTCAATTGTTGAAATCCACCTGGTGGTAATTGCGAACAGCCTGTGGTAAATTGTAATAATCGGGCCATCTCCTCTTGCGTGAAGTTGCTAACTGCAGTCCAGAACCAATCAAGAACTCGAAGAAACTCTGGGGAGCTTCCATTAGCTATATGGTGCGCACGTAAATCTGCTACGCTGTATTCACCAGTACCACACAACAATAACTATAACAAATACATATGAAGTAAGTGGAAGATATTTACAAATGAGAGAGAGAGAGAGAGAAAAATACAAATTGTATACTTCAAGTTCGTTTTCATCAAAAATTCCCAAAAGATTATCAGGAATAAGTTCGTTTAGACCTCTTAGAAAATGTTCTACTTCGTTTCGTACGGAACTAGCGAGTCTATGTTGTGCGAGTGCATCCAAATAACGAAGTTTCGTATCGTTTGTTACACGAATCTTACTACCTCCGGGAATTAATTCAGCTACCTATAATAAATGAATTTAAATAAGGTAATATAAATAAATATATAATATGATCTTACTTTTAATAATTGACCATCTTTGTCATATTCTTCTTCGACAAAATAAAGTTCCATTTCCTCGACATCATTTTCAAGAATATACTTTATTTTGCTCAGATATAAATCTGGATCATCCTGTTCGAAATACTATAAGAAAAATAAAAATATTGCTTTATTTTTTTTTAAATTTTCTTTTTTATTGATATAGATCTTAAAAAATTATACCTTATAATGTACTCTGAGGCCTATGATTTGCGCAAGAAATGATCTCGTAAATCTTGCACGTACTAACTGTCTATAGGAACCACCAAGAGCAGATTCATACAAGCATTTGCCCACGATTCGCCCTGCAAACTCATAATGCTTTAGTTTAAGCTGTGAAGGCCGTTTACTGTTAGGATGAACTAGTGCCTGCTGCGATTCTCCGAAGGACGCGAATAAACCGTTTCCAGAATCGAATAGAGCCGCGCAAATTAATTCAAACCATTCCCGTCGAACACCACCCCAATCAACACCTGAAATGAAATATTAAATATTATTTTTCTTTCAATAGCAAAAAATATTCTCGTATTCTGTAAGGAACGTACCTTGTTCACCTTGAAAATTGATCTCAAAATTTCTACACCAATCACTAACAGAGAATCCTTTTGTAGATTTCATAGACTTAAAGCAAAAAAAAGAAAAAGAGTAATCAATTTGACTAAATTATACACCGCTTTAATTAATACTCGATATTTACCGATTCTAACAATTTATCGCGTTGAACTTTCACCAGAAGTTTTTCATGGTAATGTTTTTGATGATGCTTTCGAACTTCGTGATAAAAGAAATCTTGTTTGTCAGCAAAAGTTTCACTTCCACCTATATTTTTCAACAAAAACAACGTAAATGTAGCGGCTATTATATCTCGATACAGAGAAATTAATTCAACGGGTGGCTGACATCCATCATCGATAGAAAAAGAGTCGTAACCATCGTATTGATTATTTGAACAATCAAAATGGAACTGAAAGACATCGTTTTAAATTATTGCACGTGTTATATATCTAGGAAAAAAAAATTTTAATTTTTCCCTTCCGAGAAATCGAATTACTTACTTTAGTTGATGGGCAAAGCCTGAAAGTAACGAGCCTTTTTGGTATAATTCTTAACAAGTATTCCTTGATAGTGAGCTGTTTAGGCGAAATAAAGCAGACAACTTTTTTCGGTTTCGAAAATTTTTCTCCTTGCATACCCAACAATTTTGCGGCATAACAAATGTTGGGATCTTTCGAGGCCACGTTATTATGTACCATTCTAGCAACATCACCTACGCTAACAAATATAAATATTGTAAAAATAAAACTTCGTTGTGAAGAAAATTTAAGAACGAAAGTATCTTTCGTACTCTCGAGTACAATGATGTCAAAATCGCCGTTATGTAGCTGCAATCCGCGTAAACTAACTGTCGCATGGTAGCAGTTGCCCTTCGGGAAACTGACTTTTAAACGAATCCTTTGATTTGGAGAGTCATAGTCAAATTGTATACTGCAATTTGTAATAGCCGATTTATTCATTGTACTACCAATCTGTAATTAAAATAATCGTAAAAGAAGTTAATCACAACGTAACCATCGTTAAATTCTGAGCCGTGTTTTCCACTAACATTACTTGCCTGAGTAATGTTAACTTGATAACCCTCCGTAGGTTTATCACCAGGTCCAAATATACATAGATTATCGTATTCATCTCGCGGCTCTATTGTCATAGAATGTGCAATTCCGGCTGTACAAACGACCGTTGAACTTTGTCGTACGAACACGGTCTTATTCGGATCTGGGGGGCCTAAATAATATAAAATATAAATAAACGTGATTTAACAATTGGTTACAATTCTATCATAAATATCTTTCGGATAATGGCGAATCGTACCGGGAAGAAAATTTTTAAGGAACGGGCTGCCGTGAACGTGACACGAACCAATAAGTACGGCTATTCGATATTGTCCAGCATGGCGGACAGTAAACTTTACAACTGCAGTGTTTGCAGCTAAGGGATCAGTGCCTCCTAACTCTATTAGGGTAGCTACTCTTCGTGTACCCTCTGTGACTTCGACGATCAAATTGTCTTTGTCACAAATTGGATACGGTTGGCCGTTGCGTTGATAAAACTGTAAATCATATTTTGAAAATGAAATACGATCGTCATAAAAAAATAAATTAGCTAGCTGTTTGGCCAAAGAAATAAATTTTATTTTTATTATTACTCGTTTTTAAATATATTATTTTAAAAACTTTTATTGCGTATACCTTCACTGTAAACGTCATAGTTTCTCCCACAAGTTGCGGCTCATCCCATGCAAAATGAACCCGACAATTGCTCGGTAGTAAATACTTTCCGGTCACATATTGTAACAAGGAGTGTTTTGCCTCTGGTGCTAGGGCCGGCTGTGTCATAGCAGCCAGGGTCACTAACCCTGCTACTGACACGGAGACAACTAACATTCCACCTGCCAGGTACAAAGGAAGGAAAGTTATTCATCAAGTTTTTCCTTGAAAAACTTTTTATTTTCTGTGTATTATATACAATTTTACAGTTTACGAAAAACGATGAGAAAGAGTCATACCCCATGTCCAAGCGTCTTGATGTTGGCTATTTTTCACCACGGCGCTCCACAAATCAGCCTTGAGGGTTTCTAAATCTTCCTTTGAAGTAGGCAACGTCTGTCTGGCCTGGGTCCATCGCGGTAAATCCTTGCCAAGGGCTGCCCGTGCCGCATTATCCTCCACCCAATACACATCCTCCAGAGACATCACTTCCATCTGCATTAATCTGATGAAAAAAAAAAAAAAAAAAAGAAGAAGAAGAAAAGAAAATGAAAAACAGATCTTATCTTTCCTTTCGAAGAGGACCGCAATATTCGCATGACAAACAATTGTCCATAGATATTTTTACATATTTATTATATCTAAAAATAACTGTGGAAAATATTCTGCTCACTTTTGATAATGGCTGTGCAAGCCATGGTCAGTGAGCCATTGCCGTAAAACGAGCCTTTGTTGCAACAAACGTGCGGCGCGTTGCAATCGTTCCTCGTCCTGGGCTGGTAATTCCGGCAACGCGTCCACCTCGCCACAACTCGCAAGGGATGAGATACCTGTAACATTCGAATCATTTCCTTCCTCTATGATCTCGCAAAGGAAAGAAGAAGGAGAAGAAGAAAAGAAAAAAAAACAAAACAAAGGAAACGATCGAGCAATTAATCGCATCGAATTATATTCCGAGCTACTATAGACGAACAAAGATTATTGTTATTACTATTATATTATTTTTTTTTTTTTAATTAGAGACTCAATCAGAGGAATTTGCGATAACGACGGGTATCCGTGTATAGAAAATGACAGGAAACGAGGCCTGATAATTCGAAGCGAGGAGCTGATTCCTCCACCCGTCTAATTTTCATTGCGTAGTCATTCGTCGTAAAATCGTCAAACTGTGTAAGCCACTTAAAAATGCGTCGTACGTCGTTCCTCGTCTTTCCGCTGTGCATTCTCAAGTGCATCGGGCCTGCGCTTACGATATGCATCGTGAACAAACACGAAGAAGGTGAGGCAAAAACTTTTCCCCTTCGCTCGCGTTCAATTTTCAATTGTTCCGTATACGGAATCGGAAAAAGTGGAACACCATTCGATGATCGTTTTTTACGTTTTTTTTTTTTGTTTTTTTACGAGAAGAGAAAAGATAAAATGATTTTTCGAAATTTCTCTAATTTATCGAATCGATAAACGTTTCAGGGAACGGAGGGTCGGTCGATCGGTTGCAATGCTTCAACGTCACGTTAGAAACGGTTTTCAACGAGACGACGGACTCGGTGAGGTCTATATTGATCTTCAACTCGAATTTACGATACATTCCGGAGCGAGCTTTCGCGAGATACGCGAAACATTTGCAATCTTTGAACATGCACCATTGTCGTATAAACGACATTCATTTGGAGGGGTTCGACAGTTTGGCTAACTTGAGGAAACTCGGCCTACCGAACAATAACATCACACGTGTGAGGGAGGCATGGTTCAAGGATCTAGTATACCTGGAACAATTGGACCTGTCTTTCAATAGGATCGATATAATTGAACCGGTGATCTTCGGCAAAATACCGTTGCTCAAGCGACTCGACATCCGAGAGAATCGTTTAACTTGTTTGGAACCTTCAACGTTGCCGGGTGGTATCGACAAAGTGTACTTCTTCGGCAATCCTTTGACTTTCAAATGTCGGGGAAAGGTAAGCCAAGGTAGCGAATCCGAGTATAGAAAGTTAAAGCTATCTCTTTCTTTCGAAGAATTTCATTTGTTGTTAAAATTCAGGGACGATGCGATAGATGTTGCGATTCGGTTTATTTATCGATTCGGAAATTACAGCTAACTCTGTGGATGCGGGACCACGGGGTGAACTACAGAAACGAGGAGAGCGAGAAGGAAGCATGGGTGGATAAGCTGCTTTGGCTCTGCGCCATCGGCGACACGAGCGTGGCCGAATCAGAAGTCTTGATGAAAGAATGCATCATCCTGAATTTGTTCAATCAGTTTCGAACAGGTCTTGAGAAATCGAATTCCACGATCAACCGCTGTGCCATCGAGAGATACCAATTGACGAGATGCATAGCTGCGGAGAATCGTCATCAGCTCACCAACGGGAACGTAATCAAGAAATTGTTCTTCTATATCCATCAAACGAAAATGAATTAAAAAAAAAAAGAAAGGAGGTAAAAAGTAATTGTAACTTCCATGATTAAATTAAGCGTAAGATTTTAAGATTGAAAATATAAATAATTACGAGTAAAGATCGTCTCTAATTTTTGAAAAGCAAACTTGGTTGTGTTAGAAAATTTTTTTCTCGAACCTTCGTTCGTACGGAAGGAATACTTATTTTTACGACGAAATTTAATCGCAAGAATAATTCATTGGATTTAAAAAATGTTCGTTTTCAACTGTGAGGTTTTTTATTTTTTTACTTACCGGAAGAAGCGCTACCGCTGGGCCGTAGCGACATGCCGATGGACGATATCTCATCGGCAAAGAAATCTTTGTCGCGTTGTCCATCTCGACAGCCTCGATTTTTGTCCGGCATAATTCCTCCACGGTCGTTCTCTTCGCTCGTCAACTTTTACCGACTACGAAGCATTCTTTCTTTCGTTCACCGTCGCATCGCTCGCTCGCCACGAGGTCATCTTCTCGAAACATCATTACACCACCGTTTCATCTCATTAATCTTGATCGATTTCGCGATATGGAATAACCATATATAATAATAAATTCGCCAACAATTACGCGCGCGAAAATCAATTTCGAAAACGGATATTTAACATTCTTTTATACTTTTATATAATCGCGGGAAAAATAAATTTATACCCGAGTTGCGTCGTATCATCGAACAATGAAACCATCTACCTTTTGTTTTCGACTGCGTCACCCACGCGCAAAGTGCGACTGCTGCGATGATTGAATGACGAATAGCCATTGACAATTGTGCGGGACGTGACGGTATTGTCAAGCTGAGGTTTAATATTTCGCTTGTCGTACAAACGGTTAGTGCGCAGCTAGTGTATATATATATATACATGTATTTTTTGCAACGAAGCGAATGCAATTAGAAAGGAGAGAAGAAAGGGAAGCTTGTAAGAGGCGAAGCATCGATCAATTTCTTCTAGAGGAAAGACTAGAGGGGGAGAGGTTGCATCGCGACTTCCTAACGACACGCGATTAATTTTAATTACAAGAATCGGGTGAAAGCTATTATACAGGCTCGCGCGAACAAGATCAAAACGGAGGTAATAATATTTGCTCGATAATGCTAGGATGATAAGGAAAAAATATACTTTCCGTTACTTGCACGCGATTTCGAGCGCGTCGTGAATAACGAAGAAGGGGGATTTCGGTGGTAATTCGGTGGCTGGAAGCTTTTTCGCCATCTCTAATGGACCAACTTTGCGGGGATCTCTCGTCGAGGGTTCAAGGATTAAACTTATTTGTAAGGCGCAATCGAAACGGTAAAGAGGGGGAGGGAAAAAAGGGAGATGTTTCGCCGTATATACTTTCGCCCGCGTTGACCCAGATCCGGGGTTTACTCGATTCGAGTAAAGAGATTGATAGCTGTTTCGATGGATTCTTCGGTTGTATCGGCGCGCTTTCAGGCCGCTCGATTAACCATGCCGATCAAACGATCGCGGATCGATAGGGTGGCGATTTAATCAACTACAACGGAACGTTACCATGAATTAAACGGGTCCTGAAAGCGGGTCAAGAGTCCACTCGAGGTCGAACCGGGGTTATCGTACCCGTGTTTTCCACGCTCATCTCGTTTCCCTTGCACAATTTATTGGCCGACGTGCACCGCGCCAATTGCCGCCGATAAAAAAAAAAAAAAAAGAAAAAACGATTGGAAGGACGAAACACAGGATTGCATTTCAAGGTATAATCCGTGGCATCCGTGGAACGAATTGGACACGTGTCTCCTCCGCGATTTTTCGATCTCTTTTTTTTACTCGAGTCTCGAGTGTCGTTAATTCTCGAAACGAAACAAGAGCACGAGATTGCACTGAGAAGGATGAACGATAGAAACGCGTATGCTCGATTTAATCGAACAACAACAACGGATGGATGATGGTGATGGTTAAAGATCGAATCACGATACTTTTAAGTTTTCCCCTCCCCTCCCCGAGTAAAAAAAAGTAATGGAAAAATTCGCGGACCATTTCATCCCATCAAGTATTACAGGACTTCGAGGGATAAACGTTTCCATTAGCGAGTCCATCAAAGCTCTCGAGCTCGTAATGTTTCAAAGGTAAAAGAAGAATGCGGTGGCTCTCGATGTTTTTCAGATCTTTTTCCGCCTTTCCCCATTTTCTCTCCTCCCCTCCCAACCTTCCTCCTTTCCCCAGTTATTTTTTTTCTGGGCCGTGGTCGAAACGGAAATGTACACGTGGAGGAAGAAAAGAAGAGAAATGTAGCATGGGAACAATGAAAGAATCAAGCCCGCGTAGAACACGGCAACCTCGACGTGGACTCTTGACCTTTTCGAACGGATATCCTTCACTGGCATTACTTCGTGCTAACGATCCTTTCGGGGAATAGCAACGGGGTTGAAGCAGCGGCAGGAGGTAGTGGAGGCAGTGACGGTGGTGGTGGTGGTGGTGGGCAAGGAAAACCAGGGCATACGTATGTCATACATTCTCATGATTATGCACGAGAGAGTTGCCGGTATTATGAAGGTAGGACAGATCGATTCCTACACATTTGCCATTGCACGCTTTTGTGTCTATCTTCTACTTAACCGGGGACACGATATTGCGCCGAATTGCAACATTTTCGTCTGGTTAATTTCCCTTCCTCCCGTCGCCTCTTATTGCCGTTTGCCCATGTATTTCGAGAGCGATATTCTGAGAATACCCGCGCACCACTTAGGGGGGAGGGAAGGGGGGCTGAGAAACAAACTTGGTGACACAGTTTCACCACCATGGCGCGTAATACTCTGGCGTGTTACCGCATTAATGGAATCCAGTGCACGGCGGCGTGCCGTTTTTTTAGCCTTAACGGCAAAGCGATTAAACGATCCTACTTGTAATCACGATTCTCTTTCTTCTCTGTCCCCTTCCCCTACTACTCCCCTTTTTTCCTCCTCCGCTCTTTTTTTCCCTTGAAATTGTAAGAAGCCAGCGATAAGTTTCGGTGAAAAGAAGTTTTTAGAGGACCCTCGGGGATCAGCTTTGCTCGAATGAAAGGATACGAAAGCGCGATGAATACGTTCCTCCCGCGAGAACGAGCGATTGTTTCCCGGACTAATTAAAATCTTGCCGGCTACTCGAGACGAGTGTGTGCCTATCTAAGACGTCTTCTTCTTCGAGCGAAGGTATACAAGGGATACACAATTTTTGCCAAGTGATGAAGTTTATTTATTAACGTATTATTCGTTATAATACGCGTTCACGTAGCAAAAAATATTTGCGACGAATTTCAATTTTTTTTTCATTTGATTGAGAAAATATATCAGTGGTGTGAAGGATGATTCATGGTTATATACAATGGATGTATACGATTGAATCGAAGCGATAGCGTGCATTCGAGTGTTTGTACATACACTTCCTTTTCCCATGCGATTCGTTTGCGCATTTCGATCGTCTATCTAAACGAGATAATCGGGGGGTTTCAAGTACATCTGTAATATAGATAGGTATACATTGATTTGTATCTCGTCGATTTGTTTTTTTTTTTTTTTTTTTTTGTTTGTTTTTTGATCAATAGAAATGTAGAAAAATACGACGAGTAGAGGATACGCTCGTGGAATGATTAATTTGTTCGTGGCGCGGTAAAACGTAATTGGTATCCGGAATTCGTTGCGTCGCACGTAGACGGATAACACCGTTAAATTCGTGTAATTTATTGCACAGTTTTTGGATAACATTTTCATCATTCTCGAAAGCAATAATGCTCGTACGGATATTTTTTTTTCTTTTTTTTTTTATAAAATATATCCAGTAAAATTTATCAAATATAAAGGGATTATAATACCGTTATAGTACCGTTGTAATCAAAGAAATTTTTGCTTTCAATTTGTTTCAACGATCGCCATTTATACTCGCGCCATTTCAAAATCATTTTTATACTCGTATAAAAAGTCATCTCCTTCCCCCTTTATTAAAGGGCGTTTAAAATAGGTATTCGTGGGTATACGATTTCTTTCTCGAATTTTCGATTCTTTGTTCGAAATTACGCATTTGTTTCGTGGAATGGCAATTAATATTTAATGCAACCAGTGAAACGTGTCACTCGGTCTTTTTCAAATTGTTCTCGAGGGGAAATTTTTCCGCGTTAAGAAAGGTTAAGGTCAGACACGTACGGATCGATACTTTTCCCATCGGCCGACGTTTAGTTGGTGCAACTTACTTGTACGCAACAACGACACCGGGAAAATCAATTTTAAGCGCGATCAATTAATCCTATTCACCCGTGTACATCGACATCCTATATGTTTGTCTCTCTCTGCGTGCGTGTTGCCAAACCCGCTCGATTTCCCAATCGATCGATCTGCCAATCGATTATCTTCCCTTTCTCCTTTTATTACGAGCCTCTCGCTTTCGCTCTCGTAACGAGCGCGAAAAATTTCCTATTTCATTGCAACGGATTGATTTATGCCCACGGACATCCCTCCCCGAAAATTTCGTTTCGCTTCATTATTTTCGAACAATGCGCACACGAAAAATGGTTCGTGATAAATTACGACACGTGGACAATGAGGAAAATGGCCGAGGTACTGGCGGATTATATCGATTCTACCTTGGGATGAGTAATGATTTTAAAACGTTTTCAAACTTGAAATAAATGTTTTTGAAATGCCACAGTTTCTTTTTTCCAAAGAATATCATCTATTCTCGTAACGATTTCGCATTTCTATGCGCATTTTCGTACAGATCATTTACTATATATTTTTATTCCCCTTTTTCGAATTACCATAACTCGAGTTATCCTATATCCTGTACGTTTATCTTTCGAATATATATATATACGCAAGGAGAAAGAAGAAAGTTGGGAAAAGTTGGGAATTGAATTTTCTTTATGCCAATCTTCTCGAGTTTCCCAGCGGCGAGTTTCGACGGCATCGACATCGAGCCGATAAAACGCATTACCGGCAAACTTTTCCTCCCCCGGATCACGATGCTCGTGGGAAAAACGTTCAAAGTGTCGCAATGCAGGCCGCGCTTTAGGCGATCCCTTACTTTTCGAAAATGCTCGAATAGAGAAAGAGAGAGAGAGAAAGAGAGAGCGTGCGTCGGTGTCGCGAGAGTTTACGAGCGGCGTTGTGACGTCAACGTCTTTCGCGATGAAGTCGTTCCGTGACCTCGCGCGGCCCCGAATAACAAAGCCTTGAAACGGCTCGCAACAACAACACCTACGCGATCAGACCAGGTTTCGGGAAAAGAAAGAAATTCGTCCCGCGACGAATCCTTGTGATTACCCCTTCTTCCCTCGGAAAACTTTTCGCCAACATTCAACTTTTCAACCCCGAAAAATTCCACGAGATTCAAGCAAACGTTCGCTTGCATGGAATTCGCATGCGTGTTCTCTTAATTAGGGAAATTTTTGCACAATTTGTAAAAGCATGCAATTTCTATCGGGGGTGCGGTGCAAAATTAGGGTGAAGGATAAAAGCAAAAAAGGATAAAGTTCGTGAAGTACTTCAACTGGTTCTTCAACTGATTCTTCTTGGCTTGTAATTAAAAATAATAAGCGCGCGCGTGATATTCGATCGTAAGAAACGAATGTTCGTCGAAGAGAGAAGAAGAAGAAGAAGAAGAAGAAGAAGAAGAAGAAGAAGAAGATGTGAACTTACGGATTCGAATCGATTTCTCGTCACCTGAAGACTGCTTTTCCGCCGGAGGATCGGTGTTCGGCGACTCGAAGTTGGGGAGATAAAAGATCGCGGGTAACCCAGCGGAAATGGGGGAGCGTTGCCAGCAAAAAGGTATGCGGCTAATTCGGCTAATTCGAAATGCAGTTCTCGGGCGCAACAAACAAAATCGTACCCCTTCGCAACAGGAGAGTGTCGCGTCGCACTTGTTTACGATATTAATTACGATCTCGCTACTTGTTGTCTACGGTAGGGGCTCAGGTGGGTGGGGGGAGAGAGAGGAAGCGACAGAGGAGGAGAACTCGTATCCTCGGGACAGGTGGTGAACGTGAGAAATCTAGAGAGACGTTCTACGGTGTTCTTTCCGACGGTGTATATGCGTCTCGAAGTGGAGAGTACGCGCGAGGGCGCGAATAAATGACGGGGTTGAAGGGGGAGAGAGGGAGAGAGGGGGTGGTATCGGGGGTGATAAAACGCGAGCTCTTTCTACGACCGACTTCGACGCGTCTACTAAGGGTGAGGCGGGCCAATGTGTCAAAGCCTCGGTGAACGCGCGAACATCCGAGGTTCGTTCACGATTTCATCGTTCACAGGGATTCCGTTTTTATGGTGGTTCATGCGTACGCGCCCTCTGGCTGCGCGCATAATGCTCACGTCGTTTGGTTCACGCGATTGAACGGGTCCGCGAGAAATAATGCGAAAGGACGTAGTAAGGGGGTAGTAAGGTTTCCGCCGTGCGAGTGCCTCGGCCGATAACCGAGAGCGATGCGACTCCGCGATCCACTCGCGCGGACTCACGCTAGACGACTGCATACGATACGATTACACGGACAGAGCCACCCTCTGCCACCCGTTCACTACTCCCACCCAACCCACGCTACGAAGACCAACCACGCCAACCAAACCGATCCTTCGCTTTCTTCCTTTTCTTCCAAAATCGTCCACCATTTCGCCTATGTCTCTGCTACCGGTTTAATCGCGCCATAACGCTTTCTCCCTCTTTTTTTCCTGTCTTTTCTTTTTCTCGTTGTCCATCATTTTTACGAAACGAAATTCTACTCCTTTATTTTCCTCTCCCCTCCCCCTTATGAAATTCTATTTCTTGTAGATCCTCGAAAGATCTCGTTTCTAAAAAAATCTGCATCTTCGGGAAAAATTGAAAATCAATGAAAGAGATAGAGGGAGAAAGGGGTTGATTTTCCATTACGTTTTATGGAATCGTTCCAAATATAAGACGGGGCGATTCATTTTCTTGCTACCGCAATAGATTAATTTGGTTTAAAAATTAAAAAAAAAAGAAAAAAAAAAAACTTTCGATGGTACTTTTAAACGGACTCGAGTTTGTCATTGGTCCTAACATTGCCTTGAATTTTTCCAGTAATTGCAGCGCACTCGTCGTTCAATCGTAAAGAAATGTTCGCGTGAGCGCTCTCGACGAGTAGTCATATTTAATCTTTGACGATCTACTTTGATGGTCGATAAGAAATTCGGATAGGACGTAGTAATTATTGAGGGCAATTACTTGCTGACTGGATCATTAGTTTGCTCTCGACAAGAGAATCTTGTTTTCTGTCGTGTCAACGGAAATCAAAGCTTCTAAAGGATCTTTTTATTTTTTTACCATGCTAAAAGTGATTAAATCAACGCGAAAAATTAGTATAAAATAAATACCGATGATAAATCTATTTATGTAATATAAAATTTACACGAAATGAACGAAATATTATTATAATAATATATAATCGATCAGTTATTATTTAGATGATTCGTAGCACAATTTCGTTTAAATTGACAAACTCGATATAGCAGGGATAAAAGTACGATTATTCGAATATAAAAGTATTGGATCATTAAAATTTATTGCCAATATACGAGTGCTTTAGGACCAATCGTAAATGTTCAGTGATGGATAGATTAAAAAACAATAAAGGTGATTGTGTACATACAAAACGTTTGCTCTCGAAAAGGGTGAGAGCAGGGGCAGTGTCCCCACCCCATTGGCTCAAGTGCAAACAGCGCGCAGTGACATTGCCGCAGCTGGGGAACTTCGTATCCATTCGTTCATTCCACCAATACCGAGATATAAAAGCCTAACTCCGAAGAAACATTCGCGCAAGCGCTTATATCCTTGGCATCAGCCAGGGCCAAGATGATAAAAGTTTGGACACTGACGCAGATTTATCAGCTTGCTTCGCTTTGGTTTTTGAATCTAATAAGAAAAACATGCGGGGGAACAAGCTACGATAAAAACTGAAGTACAATTTTGCGCATATCTTATAATATTTTCTCTTTCTATTCAATCTTTTTTTTTTTCATTCAATATTTTAAAGCTTTACATAAAAAAATTTCTCTATTTTTTATATAATAGATCTTTATAAATATTTTTCATAATTTTTCAGATACATAAATACATAAAGAAAAATATTGCAAAATTAATTACACATAACACATAACAGTTTAAGTTGTTTAAATTGTTCTTACATAACTCTTTGAAATGGTAATGAATTCCGAAGCATTACAATTCTTGATACAGTAATGAATAACGTTTGCAAAGGCTCGTTAAATTCACATTATCGTACAAAGACCCGTAATTTAACGATCAATCGATAATACATGCTTAACAATGAATTTCAAGTTTGAATAATGAATCTATTGTGCAGTATAGTAATCGTTTTAGAAAGTCGCCAAATAGAATGAGTGATGTATTAAAATTGATTATTTTATCTTTTATCGTAAATTGTTTACAAATTGAAAAATTCTTTTATTTATAAACATTTATATGAATTGATATTTGATAATTATGTAATGCGTAATATAAGAGTAATAAAATAATGGAATTAGAAAAATAACTAAGGGAATTCTGACCTTTCTTTTTGAAGAGAGGTCGATATTGTTTCAGTCCAATTTCGGCAAGCCATTGATCTGCTTCGGTGAGATCTCCGTTGTTTGCATTTCCGGTGACAAGCATCAAAAGTTTGCCAAGGGATAAAATCATAGTAAGGGCCAGGAATACCCCAGATAATACAGTCGACCATCGTGCCATTTCCTGATAAGTGCATCTTCAAAATGAATAGTAATAAATTATATTGACAAACTGCGTATATATATATAATATTTATGTTAACAGGTTAAGTATCTGAATTGAGGTTATGTCACTATAGTGTTTGTAAACAAATCTATATCCGGGAAATATAACTAGTGGTATTTTGCATTAATCGACTTACCACATTTTCATAGAGCTGTTAATCCATATATGATATCATTAACAAAATTGTGCTTGTGCAGTTTTATGGAGTAAAGACTTACATACTAATACAGAATAAGGATTGCTGTAGATGGAGTGACAGATGAAGAACACTATAAATTTCTAGGGATTTCATACATCAGCCTTTCTTCTAATGGACAGACTGAAAATCAAAAAAATATATATTCTTTACACGTATATAGAAAAGTTAATTTATATATAAAAAATATAAATTCTTTATGATATATAAATAAAAAATTTATATACATATAAAATATATTCTTTGATATATGAAAATGTAAATATAAATATAAAATAAACATAAGATATATATATACTTGCATACGAAAATTGAATTAAATAATTTGTTAAGATTTGTAATTAGTAGATTTTACAAAGAAAACAAAATTAATCAGATATCGGAACTATTTATTAAGTGTATAAATTTTAGAAGAAATATAGGCAAAGAGAAGAAAAAAAGAATAGAGGTAATGTAAAAATTGGGGTATCAGCGCCATCTTTTAAATACCAAAAACATTTTTTTATAAGTAAGATAAAGAATTGAAGAATAGCGCCATTATTTGATTACTAAAAAAAACATCTTTTTAAAAATATTCAAAAGATAGCACTAATCAATTCTTCCTATTCTATCTTTACCTTTTTCTTATTATATGCTGTTTCTTTTTTATGTATTTCATTACTTTATGTATTCGACAATCTAGAAATGGCACTAATTTTAATATTTTTCTCTGTTCTTTTTTTTAATTATTTTCTCTATAATATTTTTATTTTATCTATCTCTAGAAATGGTATTGATTCCCGAATTTTTATTTTTTCTCTTCATTTCTATTCTACTTCCTTTATTTTTCATTAAATATAGTGAAATTGAAACATTTCCTAGATATTGAATTATATTTTTTAATTTTTGAATTAAGAAATCAACAATATTAATACAATTTCTGTCAAAACAAATATAAAAATTATATTTTACGAATTACATACTCAACAAATAATATATAATACATCATTATTAACAATTTAATTTTACATGTAAATTGATGTGATTTAAATTATGATAATTTATATCTAATAAGCGTTTTTTTAAAATTTATATTCATTTCATAAAATAATTGGCGATTGCTTTATGTACAAAATTGTTGCTTACAATAATTACATTAGAGAACAAGTCCTTGATATGATACACCATCAGCTTCTGGAGATTCCATTCTATTTCTTAAATGTTCTAGTGTATTAGCTAAATGTTTTTGAATTTGTTCTGTTTCTTCGCTAACTTCTAAATTGGGAAGTTCTTCTTTAATTTTTGCTATTACTTGATTTATAATATCGACAGTAAACTAAAAAAAAAAAAAAAAAATGAATATTAATTTATATACATATTAATAGAAATATAATTCTTACCATAGTATTGCCTTTTTCATAGAAATAGATGTAATGATTTAATAATTCCACATAAAGTTGTACTTGAACTGAAGTATCCATACATTGACTTGCTATTCTGATACCTTTTCTCAAACAATCCAATACTTTATATCCATTTTGCATCTTAAAAAAATATGTAAATTAATATATTTTTAAATAATTTTATTATAATATATATAATGATATTTAAATAAAAGGGAAAAAAAAGGAATGGCATTCACCTCTTTTCCGCCAGTTGCTAACGATTTTCCTGACCAAAATATATGAGAACAGGTAGCAATACCTCTACATTGATCTGGTTTTCTTAATAATTTACTAGCATATAAAACACACTGGTTGCGTATTGGTTCTGCATTTTCTTCACAAAAACAACTCATTTGTTCGAATGTTGCAATGATTAATGTAATAGCTGCTAATTGTGCCTTAGAATCACTTATTTCATCTTCATATATTGAAAATGCTTGACTCATAAATTCATAAGCAACCATCTCAAAATTATCGAAACGAATTTCACCTATTGCTATTGCACCTTGTAGAAATAATCTCAATGGCAATTCAGCTAGTTCAGCCTTCATTAAAGCTGTAATAGTTGCATGACAAAATTGAAAGATTTTTTGACATTTTTTTTGCCACATTTCATCCTATAACAAAGAAAAATAATCGAATCAACTCTTTGAAAATTATAACAAGAAATTAATAATTTACTAACTTGATCCTTCAATCCTTTATATGTATAAGCTAGTTGATAAGCTTGAAAAACAATTGGTGGTAAAGTATATTTTATTCTTTTATTTCCACCTGCACTAAAATGTTTTCTAGCAGCACTTAATATCATGTATTGCTGATCAGCTGTTTCAGATTTAAAGTGATGAATCAGTCTACCAAGAAGACCTTGTTCTTCTGCAAAATCTTCAGGATCTTCTTCTATATTTGGTTGATCTAGTTGGTCTTGTACTAATGGAGACACCATAGAAAGAACTGCATCTACTTGTTCTAGAGTTGGTATTAAAGTTTCATTTTCTAAAATATTTGTTATTATATAAATAGCTAACAACTTTCTGCCTTCATAATCAAAATAATCAAGTAGTGGGGCAAAATGTTCAAGTTTTAAGGCAGTTAATATATTTTTATAATTATCTATTGGAATTTTCATTAGTCTCACTAACTCTCTTGATACAGCACTATTATATTCAAGTCTAAAAAATTTATTAAATTTATTATATATTTATCTATGTATAAAAACTTATACTTCATATTATATTATACATACTTATCTACATTCTGTTTTTGGAATATTTGAACAGTCGTTAATAAAACTTTATCCACATAGTTTACTCTGTCAGGATAACACTTATGTGCTAAATTAATAAGAGCCACTTGAAGAGAAACTATATCTTCTGGAGGCATGTCTTGTCTTGTCTGTAAATAATAATCAAATATAATAACAATTAAAAATAATTAAAAATTTAATAATAATTTATAAAGAAAAATTTTCAGACTTAAACTATATAAGTAAGGATAACTTGAATATTAATAAGTATCAATCACGTTATTATCAAATTTGTGCAGTATCTGATCATCATAGAAATAAATTAAATAAAATTGAGTTAATAATATACATTCTTTTTTTTTTTTCTTATAAATCATACTAACTTGTATAATTATAGCTATTTGATCACTGAAAACATCAAAAAGTTTTACATCCTGTGGAATTCCTGGTACTTGATTAGGACTTCCTGGCCCTCCCACACCATCTGATCTTTGACTAAATGCTGCAAGACGATCTATTAACGAAATAATTATGTTTTTTACATTCACACCATTTTGTAATTCAGCACAAGACTTTAAAAATGCATTTAATGTTTGTAGATGAAATTCATCAGGAAAAACCTAAATAAAAATATGAATATATTATTAATAATAATTTCTTTTATTACAATTTTAAATATTTATAAATTAAAAAATTTATCTTTCATTTACTTGAATTATGCATTCCATAAGATATTCCTGAGCAATTGCATCTCTGCAACTGACTACTTGTTCTAAAATTCCTGGTAAGACAAGCTAAAAATGATTATTATTAGGTAATTATTCTGCAAAATTTTAATAAACTAAATATATTAAGATTAACCTTTTTATATTTCTCTAAAGTAACTGATTCTAACTGACTTAGTCGTACAAGATTAGTTCCTACTAAAATTCTAAGTTCTTCTCTTTCTCTTTCCCTTCTTTCTCTGTCTCTAGTATGACCTTGATGCTGCATGCGTACCCATAATTTATTCATTTCTGCGAAATTCATCAAGACAAAATCTATACTGTCACGGACCTAAAAAAAAATACAAAATATAAATTTGATCTTTTTATATATTGTTCATTTCTAGATATACATTTCCATCTTCATCATCTTCTTCAGCAACATCTGGTAAAATATTACGGGTACATTGTAATAAGTAATTTCTTAAGAAAAGACCTCTTAAAGGATGTTGAACACCTCTACACATTTCTACTAAATCTCTTAATAGATCCCTTTTTAAGCCAGGTGTTGTTTTGATATATACTAATCCTACTGTGATGAGTAAATATCTAAAAAAACAATATTAAATATTACAAAAAAAATATGTACATATTATCATAATATATTTATAATAAACTTACAATCTAGGCACAATATTTCCAACATATTGTACTAATTCATATAAATCTGTAACTTTTCTTCCTTTTTGAAATTCATCTAATAAATAAAGTTCTAAATGTCTTAATTCATCAGTAATTGCCATGTCTAAAATTATATGTAAGAAAAAATAGAATTTATTATAAAAAAAATTATTAAAAATATTTTATAAAACCTATATATTTTTTTTTTTTAATTAAGGATACATAATTCATAATAACTCTTTGGACTTAAAAGAGAAGTTCTAAGTTCTCCTAACATCGTAGATGCATGTTTTAATGCATCCATCAATTTGGATTTGTCCAGACAATGTTTCATTTGGAAAGCCTGCACTTTGACTACACCAATTGCATCCTCAAGTAGTTTTTCTTGTTCTTCAACTCCCGTTATAGCAGGTGTCATTGGCTGTGAGAAAAATAAAGATACCTACCAGGAACACCAGGTAGTACCATGCTAGGTAAGCCACTCAATGCAAGCATGCACTATTTTATGCTTTCATGATAAAAAAGAAGCAAGGAGAAACTATTCTACCATATTATAATTATAAACTAATTAATATTTATATTTAAATTAATATTTATAAAAGGAAAATATTACATAAATTATGCAAAAAGCAAAAAGTCCGTTCATGTTAAAATGTATTATAATAAATAGATTTTGCAATTAAAATATTTTTGATATATTATAATTTTCAATTCTTAATATAATACTGAATACACTACATTTTAAATTAAAATTAAAGGTTATTAATTTTACTATAAAATGTGACTAATAATAAATAAAAAAAAAATATTATTAAATCTTTTTTTTTGTATTCGGAAAAAATAAAGGAAATGTTAAATTAATTTTAAATATTCAATATTTTAAATATTGAATTGTTAAACATAAACATTAAAATTTTTACGATAATTAACCTTCATGATATTGAAATAATTTGGTAAAAATAATTTTTTAAATTTCTGTTCAATTCATTTGGCGTACAATTAATTTTTTTTATAAGCAAGGGTTTAACATGCTTTTTGAAATTAATTTTATATTTACCATTTTTATATTTTTTTTTTTAAAAAAGTAAATACTTGTCTTCTGCACTTGAAACACCCATTGAAAGTGACGCGCTCTATATGATTACAGATTATATATTATATATATATATATATATATTTAACAGGGAAAATGATATTGTTCCAACAAAAGAATTAATTTTATTAAAAAATTTCTATCGCATTACATATATTTTTTTTATTATTAATTTACAGCATCAATATATATTTTATCATAAATATTGAAATAATTTATTTCACACTAAATTAAATATTTAAAATTTAGTTATTTTATTTTAATATATTTCTTATGTTTTTGATTTAAAAAATAAATAGATATTTAAATTTTTATATATTTTTATTTATAAATATTGCATCTAAATTAATGTACATGTATAAGACTACATCTGAGAGTATTCATCACATATAAGATTATCCAAGCTTGAGTTTATCTGTAGAAACCTGTTCCTATTGAATAAATAATCTATTTATGAATCAGAACTTTTAATATGAACTGATCATAAATTGTGAAATATCAATTAACCTTCAATGATTTCATATATATATCCAGTTCATCCTCACTTTCAATTTCATTTGGATCTTCAGTTGGTCCTATAGTTTCAGGTGATTCTGAATCAAAATATTTATCTTCTTCATCCTGGGTTTTTAAATCTATATTATCATATGTTTCATTATCATCAACAGTGCTAGAAAAAAATATAATATATGCATATGTAAATAATGAAAGATTATTTCATTAATGAAATTAAATGTTTATAAATACCTATAATCAAAATCTGTATCTTTTCCATCCAAAAAATTTTGATACATGTTTGTTACAAACTCTTGTTTAAGTATTTGTTTTTCTGTCTTTGAAATACAATGAAAATTTTTTAATGTTTCATTTTTATGTACTATATTTTTGAAATTAGATGTTTTACCCCAATATTCAGTTTCTTTTTCATTATTCTTTGAAACACATATATCTGTTTGTTCTTCATCTGAATCATTTTCTTCTAGTACATTTTGTTCTTCTTCCTCTTGTAATTTCTGTTTTTTCTTTAAATTATCCCTTTCAATATTTTCCATCAATAAATTTACAAAAGTAATATTTTTAGTATCTATATTATCTCTAATTTTCTTTTGTTTTTCAGTCATATATTGTCCAATTAAATGTTCATATAACAATGGATTCCTTTTCATCATTTCAGATTCACTAAAATATTCTCCTTCTTCTATTAAAGTTTTTAATGCTTGATATCTTCTATTTCTAACATCTGTTTGTCTTGTTGAATTATTAAAATATCTTTGTAATCTGTTAAAATGATAAGCAACTTCATAATCTTCATCTTTACTTTTTTCAAATAATTTTAAATGTTCTTTTTTCATATAATGACCAAATTTAGACAAAAATAAACAATTACTTTTTTGAAGAATATTGCGTGCAATTGTTAATTTTTCTTCAAAAGTTAAATCTGGATCATTTTTTTGTTGACTCTTAAAAATTGCCTTACTCTTTGCTACATAACACAACAGTTCTTCTTCTAAATTTTTATCCTGTTCACTTAAAACAATTAGTTGCCTGTCACTAATTTTATTTTTATCATCTTCAATCATTTTTGGAGTATAATTTTGTACATCTTTTTTCTTACTCATGTTTAACCAAATTGTTTTATTTTATAATTACAATATCAGCATAATTAAATCAATTTAATTAATTTTTTTATTAATATTACCTTACATATTATAACTCAGCACTTATTAATAATATATAAAATATTTTTTAATACAATACTTTTGTTTTTATTATTAAATTAATGAATCTTACACAATTTACACAACATGCGTCATTGGTACTGTCATCAAAAACCTAACCCATAAGTTTGCGTTGATACGTAAACCTATCTATTTGAAATATGATATATCGAAATCTGTGACAAATATTAAGATACATTTATATATAATACATACATGTATATGTATGTATGTGTACATATATTGTTCTATAAATTAAAATATATATTTATGAGTAAGTACTTATAGTATACTTATATTGTGACAAATCTATTATATTATTGTGGGTGTCTTTCATTTATTATTTTATTTTTCTTCAAATAAATATTATATTTGGAATAATAGATAAAAATTTCGTAAAATAATAATTATTATGCGTTAAATAATATGTTAAATAAGTGTAACATAAATTTCATACTCTTATCTTATTATGAGATAATAAAACAAAATTTCTATCTTATTTTAAGAAGTTGCTACATATTGTTTCTTTTATTCTGAGATTATTTATAGATTTAAAACATGGATAATTGGTTAATTAATACTGATGAACAAATGTGGAAATGGAATTGGACAGAATTATGTGGCTATCATGGAGGTATTAAACCTTTAAATACAAATACACATGATCTTGATGTTTGTTTTCAACAACTTTGTCTTCAGGTAATTCAATATCAAAAAACTTATATATATATGAATATTTATTATTATGTTTTTTAAATATTTTTCAGATTCCAGTTTTAACCTGTATTGCTATAATTTCTGCTTATCACTGTGGAAAAAGAAATGTATATTCTATACGTCATTATGGCTCTAATTATTTTATAAATTTAAGAATTATAATTACAATATGCCTTGTAATTCTTCCTATACTCAGAGCATATATTATTGTTACTAATACTGTTCTTGATCCATCAAGCGATAATTCTATACAAAAATATATTATGACTTCAACCAAAAAACCAGAATTATTTATGAATAGTTCAAATATATTACATCAAATTCAAGATGAATGGAATCATACTATTAACATTGCAAAATCAATCTTTTTTCCAAAGAACAGTATTCAAAATACGACACAATCTTCTGTTATTACTACTACACAAGAGTACAACCCAATATTTACTATAATCAAAAACAAAGTTACATCTGCCAAACCTATTGATTATCTTGTGGCAGGTACTGAGGGATTAGCATGGGTTGTTCATCTTTGTTTTATATTAAGCTTAAAAAAAGGAAGAGATTTTAATCCACGTGGTCCTGTTTCAATTCGGGCATTAATACTTCTATTAATTGTTATTTCTGCATTGCTGTTAAGAAGTCATATCAAATATAATCCTCAAAATGATGTTTTACCAAATTTATCATTGGGATTTAGTATTATTGTAGTCACTCTACTAATACTTTATGCTTTAACATTGATACCAGGTCACAGTAGTCTACGAGACACGAGATCATCTCAATATAATGAAGTAAGTCATAAAATGTACACTACATTAGTTCATAATATTATCAGTAATTAGTGTTTTCCAGTTGCTTATCAGTATAAGAGATTTCAAACATCTGTTACTAAATATATATTTGCTACATTACTAAATTGACTATGATATCTAAAATCATGAATTATTAAGTAAACACAGATATCATAAGTCAGTGAAAAATATGTTTATAGATAGGAGAACGGACTGCATTATTGAGTAGTCCTAATTCTTCCTATGTAAGGTTTCCTGAAGAACAGGACCCAATATATCTTGGGACTGCTATGGAGGATGCAACTGCAACCTCTAAGCTTATATTTCATTGGGTAAATTCATTAATGGAAAAAGGTGTTCATGGTTTATTAAATCATTCAGATGATTTATTTGACTTACCAGAATATATTAGCACTAATACAATTAATCAAAAGATTAATAAGCATTTGCAAAATATGGTAAATATAATAAAAATGAAAACAATAATTTTTAAATCCATAATAATATTATTATTCTATATATATTCTATATTATATATTATATATTATAATTCTATATTATAATTCTATATATATTCTATATATTATATATAATAATATATTGTAGACTGGTGATATAAATAATACAATGGAAAATTCTGAATCAACATCAGGAACACATGTTCGTATAATTACAAACAAAATAACTTTGTTTAAATTATTACATAAATGTTTTGGTTGGGAGTTTTATTCTGTTGGAATATTAAAATTTATTACTGACTCCACTTTGTTTATGGGACCATTATTACTAAATAAATTAATTGGTTTTATTGAAGATAAAAATGAACCTATCATGTATGGATATTTATATGCATCATTAATATTTATAAGTGCTTTAATAGGTAAGTATTAACAAAAGTAATTAATTTTTTATGATTTTTAATATTTGTTGGAATCTGCTAATAATCTTCTTATTTTATTTAGGAGCATTTTGTAATACTCATTTCACATTTTGGATGTCTGTAGTTGGTTTAAAAATTCGTTCTACTGTTATAACATTACTATATAGAAAAATTTTGCATTCTTCAAATGTACAACTTAAACAACAATTTAATTTTGGTGAAATTGTTAATTTTATGACTACGGATAATGATAGAGTTGTTAACAGTTGTGCAAGTTTTCATGCATTTTGGAGCATACCATTACAGGTGATTCTTTATTATATTATATTTTAACATTAAAAAACTATTCATGTTTTTTTATATTTTTATATTTTATATTCATATTTTATATTTGTGTGTTTTTCAGTTAATTATAACATTGTATCTTTTGAATAAGCAAATAGGAGTTTCATTTCTAGCTGGAATTACTTTTGCAATAGTACTTATACCTATAAATAAAGTAATAGCAAATCAAATTGGAAAATTTAGTACAAAATTAATGGAGTGTAAAGATCAGAGGGTTAGACTTATAGGGGAAATATTGCGTGGAATAACTACCATTAAATTAAATGTGTGGGAAGACCACTTTTTACGAAATATATCAAGTTAGTATACTTTGAAAAATACGAATATATTTTTGATTATTCATTTTTATATATTTTTTTTATATTTTTGATCAGAATTACGTGAAAATGAAATTAAATATTTGCGTGGTAGAAAATACCTTGATGCTTTATGTGTCTACTTTTGGGCAACAACACCTGTCTTAATTTCCATATTAACATTTGCTACATACGTACTTCTTGGAAATAAACTCGATGCAAAGACAGTATTTACTAGTATGGCATTATTAAATATGCTAATAGCTCCATTAAATGCATTTCCATGGGTTTTGAATGGTCTTACAGAAGCTTGGGTATCACTTAAAAGAATTCAGAGAATGTTAGATGTAAGTTAAAATTGTATTTTATGATTTTAAAAATTATTGAAAAGTATTAATTCAACTTAATATAGTTACCAGATGCAGACATGTCATCATATTATTCAGAATCTCCATCTGGAATAGATTTAATGCTTCAAGATGTAATATTTAGTATAAACTCAGATTCAAATATAGAACAAAATGGTTTTAATGCACCTAAAGATGTCTTAAGCCCATCTGGTAGTTCAGAATCTAAAAAAACTATCACTTTTGAAAATAATGATATTTTTAATCTATATGACATTAATATTACAATTCCAAAGGTAATAATAGAAAGTAATTAGTATTTTAATCATATTAAATGTTATAAATTATACATTTTATTTTAGGGACACTTGATTGGTATTATGGGAGAAGTAGGTAGCGGAAAATCATTACTTCTAAATGGTATTTTAGGTGAAATAATTAAAATTCGTGGTACAATAGCAGTAAATGATATTGAAAAAGGTTTTGCATATGTAAAACAAAATCCATGGTTACAACGTGGTACAATTCGAGACAACATTCTTTTTGGAAAATCTTATGATTATAATAGATATAAGTAAGTATTGAATTATATAATATATGTGTATAAAAAAAATATATATATATTTTTAAACAAAATTATACCATAACAGGAATATTTTAAAAGCATGTGCTCTGAGTGCTGATTTAAATTCTCTACCTAAAAAAGATTTAACATTGATTGGAGAAGCGGGAAACACATTGAGTGGTGGTCAAAAGACAAGAATTTCGTTAGCACGTGCTGTGTATGCCGACAAAGACATTTATTTATTAGATGATGTTTTGGCGACTTTAGATCCAAAAGTTGCTAGTTATATATTTAAACACGTTATTCTGGGTTTATTAAATACTAAAACAAGATTATTATGTACTCATCAGACTCGATATTTAATGTATGCAAATTTAGTAATAGAAATGTCAAAGGGTAGAATCATCAATCAGGGTAAACCAAATGAAGTTTTATCTGATTTAGAAGATTATTTGTTATCTTCAGATTCTATAGAATCTGAATTAAATACTATTTCTATAAGTGATTTACCAAAAGAAATATATCAAGCAGATAAAGATGAAAAAGATCCTTTACTTGATGAAGAATATAAAGAAAAAGGCAAAGTACGATTTGGAGTATATAATTGTTATATAAAAGCAATAGGTTACTATTTAGCAATTTCAATAATTCTTTCGATGTTCTTAATGCAAAGTTCGAAAAATGTCACGGATTTATGGCTATCTTATTGGGTTACTCATGTTAATACAACTGTAACTAATATCACAGATAGCACAAAAACTTTGCGATTAGAATATTTTTTTGATGATTATAATATGAGTACTAATTATTATCTAACAGTGTATACACTTTTGGCTATCTTTAATACATTATTCACATTAATGAGAGCATTTATGTTTGCATACGGTGGAATTCAAGCAGCAATTTCTATACACAAACAACTTTTAAAGATTGTAGTTCGAGTAAATACATTTTATAAAAAATATTTGATAACAATAAAAAATATCAAAACAAAATTTACAGGATATTTTTTTTTAGGCTAAAGCTGTATTTTTTGACATACAACCATTTGGTAGAATTCTAAACAGATTTTCATCAGATATATATACAATTGATGATAGTCTTCCCTTTATTGCCAATATATTATTTGCTCAGTTATTTGGTTTGATTGCCACAGTTATTATTATAGCTTATGGATTACCATGGATACTTTTGGTATTAGCACCATTGATACCAGTTTATCATTGGATTCAAAATCATTATAGGTATATTGATTGAATATATATATATATATACATGTCTCAAAATATGTGTTATTTTAACAATATTTTTCAGATTAACATCAAGGGAGTTGAAACGTCTATCTAGTGCTGCACTTTCACCGTTATATGCAAATTTTAATGAAACTTTACATGGATTATCTACCATTAGAGCTTTTCGAACTGTAGCTCGTTTTAAACAAGAAAATGAACTCTTGCTAGAAATCAGTCAAAAAACACAATTTGCATCATTTGCTGTCAGTCAATGGCTTGCATTAAGATTACAACTCATTGGAGTGGCACTTTTAGCGGGAGTGAGCAATATAGCAGTTTTACAACATCAATATAACATTGCGGATCCTGGATTAATAGGTCTCGTTATTACTTATACATTATCTGTGACTGGATTATTATCTGGTGTGGTAAATGCATTTACTGAAACTGAAAGAGAAATGATTGCGGTTGAACGTGTAAAAGAATATTTAGAAAATGTTCCTATAGAAACTATAAAAGGTGATAATCCACCATATGCTTGGCCAAGTCAGGGTGTAATTGAATTCAGAGATGTTGTTTTAAAGTATAGGTAATTAATTACACACAATTAATTGAAATCTATTATTCAGTATTATAATCAATGTTTAAATCTTTTAGAGAGCATTTAGTGCCATCTCTAAATAATATATCATTTGTTACAAGACCTGCAGAAAAAATTGGAATCGTTGGACGTACAGGTGCAGGAAAAAGTTCTTTATTTAATTCATTATTTAGATTAACGGAAATAAATTCTGGAAGCATATTAATCGATAATGTGAATATACAAAGTTTACAATTGAATGCGATAAGGTATTTTCTGACATATTAAATTAATTATTTTGATTTAAAATATCTATTTACGAGCAATTAAAAGATTCAATAAAGAATTAAATCGTTTCAGATCTCGATTGGCTATTATACCTCAAAATCCATTTTTATTTTCGGGTACGATTCGAGAAAATCTTGATCCATTAAATCAATATCCAGATTTGCTTATATATAAAGCATTGGAGAAATGCAAAATTCATTCGTTGGTTTATCGATTAGGAGGGCTTGGTGCTACTTTGGATGAAAATGGTAGCAATCTTAGCGCAGGTCAAAGACAATTGTTCTGCTTGGTTAGAGCAATTTTACATAATGCTAAGGTATTCGTCAATTTTTTTCAATTAAACATTCTACATTTTGCATTATTTTCAATTATTAATTTTTTCTTGTAGATAATCTGTATCGATGAAGCAACGGCAAATGTTGATCAAGAAACAGACAAATTTATTCAAGCGACAATAAAATCTTCCTTCCAAACTGCTACAGTATTGACTATAGCACATAGAATAAGAACGATTATGTACTGTGATAGGTATGTTAGTTTATGATTTATAATCAAAATAAATATGTTTAATTGTTAATGTATTTTTTTCACTTAGAGTTCTTGTGATGGGAGATGGAGAAGTTCTAGAATTCGAAGAACCAAATTTATTGATTCAGAATATTGATTCCCATTTTTATCATTTGGTGAGTCAAGAATTTTCAGATAACGAATGAAAGTCGTGATTATGTACTGTATATATCTTCCGATTAAAATATTTATTTTTTTTTTACGCGAAACTTTTTATAAGTGTATAGTTTTATAATATATCATAGTATTAGTTATTTTTACTGTATATATAATGAAACGCGTATTACGAAATCTGCATTAAGAAATCTGCATTAAGAAATCTGCATTTTGTCTTATAAATTATAATTATTTTCATACGATCCTATGAGAATTGTATCTTAATCTATAAGGATATAAACAATGTATTAATTTAGTAAACGTTTTATGAGATTGTGATAAAATATGAAATTTATTTGATTCGTTTATTATATTTAAGCTTTGTATTAAATCAGACTACCTCATTGTAAGTTATTGTAGTAGGTAATATATGTAAAAATTCGTCGAAATCGATATATCCTTTTTTATAACGATCTAATTCCTTAAATATAGTTTGCCACACTGTCAATGACACTTTCAAATCCACATTTTTGCTTGCAGAATAGAAATCATCCAATACTAAATATCCTTTATCTGCAACGAAGCATTTTTAACGAAGCCGTTTAAAAATTGAGTTTTTTTTTAAAATAATAATCGATACCTACAATCCTTATCCAATAAAGTGAATAACACTTCCGCATTAACGTGTGGATCATTTGCATTACTTTTCTTGGACACGCATAATTTAAACTCCTCGAATGAGATTTTATCGGTAAATTGAAACACTTGTTTCACTTCCGTCTGAAAATCAGGATAAATCGTTTTCAGTTTTCAAAAAATCGATTAGCTTTTTAAAAAGATATAATTTTACTTTTTCCGGACGGCATCCAAAAACAGCCGTCATCGCTATCTTGTATTCCCGTTTGCTCAAAAATCCCTTTTTCTCCGCATCGGCATAATCAAAAGCCTATAATTTTCAAAATTTTCGCAAAGTTGTCGTTTCACTATACTCGAAGCTTTTAAGCTTGAACTTTGATTTTACCATTTTCGCGCGATCCTCGAAACAATTCGGTAGCATCTCGTCCTTTCTGAACGTATCCCACTAGAAGGGGGAAATTTTCTTGAACGACTTCCATATTAAGCGATTTGATGAAAGCGGTTGAAAGGTGTTGCCGGTAGTCGTGTAACGCGAGAGAGAAGGAGCGTATCGGTGTTTCACGCGAGAGAAGCTCGACCGACACGCATTATGTCGTAATTAAAGCGGTGACTCTCCTTTCAACCTCCGGTATTTTGTAATATTCATCACGGAGCCAATTAACGCCGCCGCGGGACACGTACACGCGGCCGTGTGCGCCCGATGACATAACGCGTCTGCTATATCCGGCATTCAACCGGCATTTTCGCGGCCTCTGTCATCGTTCTCCGCCGCTGAAAACTAATGAGCTGTAACCCCGCCTGATTTTACGTTCCGTTTTTTAATTACCCGTCATTTAAACTCGTTCATTCCTTTCCTTTTTTTCCTTTTCTCCCCGCGTATGCGTACACCGCGGCGGAACGCTATTATTTTTCACGCGCGCACGACTCGATGAAACGTGCAAAACTGGCTGCACAGGGACTGCAGAAGCATTTTATATATGACGTTAATGATGTACCGCGTTTAGCACGATCGCCTATCATCATTTTTTTTATAAATGCGACATCGACGATGATTCAACAAAATTTTTATTCGCGAATTCTCGTATTATTCCTTTCGCAACGATGGAAAGAATTTTAAGGATAAAAAACGTGTTCTTACGTGTAACAGCATCGTTCAGAATTTCTACGATTGGATTTACGAAGCGGCTTCAAATCGAATCGATGATCGATGCTGAACGATAGACGCTCTTTTGTCAAGAAACCGCCGGCTTCCTTCTCTCGGGATACGTTCGAGGTTCGTGCCCTTTTGAGAGCGACGAATTAAGTAATTTTCGTCTAATTCTTCGTCTCGTCGCGATTCCGAGGCGGCGGTCACAGATGGGAATCCAGCTTGGCGGTCGCGGCCCTGTTTTTTCCCCGCCCTTTGTGGAGGAACCGCCTTTGAAACATGTGTGCTTCCGGCGCAAAAGCATAGGCAATTCTTGGTTGAAAGGCCGAGCCTTACGGGTGGCGTTGTGTCATTGGCCGATACTCTTCGACAGCCCATATAATGTGTGCGTACGCAAGGAACGTTTATATTTCAGTCATAAAAGCTCATAAAGAATAAATTTGCGGTATGGATATTTCAACCATAAAGCGAGAGTTTGCACCGCTGTTTGTACACGCTCCGTGGCGAATTGAAATAATATTGAAATGAATTTATAGCTTCCGTACTGAGAAAAACGTCCGAATGAAAAAAATATATCTTCTGTTCCTTTGACCTGATTTCCTGTCTAAAAATTCCTTTCCGTTTCGAACGTTCGATAAAAGAATTTCAACCAAGTGTTAAGTTAAACGCGTTGCATTTCCTGTAATCAAATGAAAATTTCTCGAGAATTCGCGTGAACAGATTTTCCTTAAAAAAAAAAAAGAGGAAAANAAAAAAAAAAAAAAGGAAAAAAAGGATTATAAAATTATATAATAAATATATATTTGAATTTAATATATTTGAAATTTCATCTTGGATGTGGCTCGTCTCGTGACACAGTCGGTACACGCAATAGCCCTTCGCTCTTGCGCGTCTCGGTGGGTACTCGAGGCTTGAAGCACAGTCACTAGCGTAGGGGGCTACCCTAAAAGTGCACCTATCAAGGGTTGGTTTCAACGAGCGTACAGCCCTAGACTAACCCTTGCTATCGAAGAGACTGCGCGGCCGCCCTTCGAAAACTAGTTCGGGTTTTGTTATCGAATCGTTTTTTCGAGTTTGCGGGGAAAAAAAGGAGAAATGCGCGTCGTCACAAATCGAATATAAAAATATATGCGCGTTGCATACTACGATCTGCCTACAGCATGCCTTTAATATATCAATGCGTAATTTAGGATACGCGTGTTCCATGCGTGATTCACCGTCAGAGACGAGAACGTCTGTCGAATATTTAATCAATGTAAGAATATACGTCGTCTAATAGGCATGGAGAAAATTATCTGTGAATTAATAACACGGTAACCATGGCGCTTCGTGTTTGATCTCTACGGGTTGCCGTCAATACGGCGCGCTCTCTATACATGTGTAGTAGCGAGGGGGCGTCTAGGCCTTCACCCTTGAAGTTACGCGGAAAATATGCCAATGTTGTTTGAATGAGGGGTCCCGGGATGGATAAAAGTAAGTAGGCGACGGTGATTGCCGGCGAACATTAAGGAAAGGAAATGCGGCCGGCGATCGCGTATATGCGCCTCCGTTGAACGATTTCTCGCATGGAGAAGAATAGAGAAAAAAAAAAAAAGAAGGAAAAGAAAAAGCGTGATCGCAGGACACGTTTGAAACGCGCTCTCTTCCGTCGTGGACACACGCGCGGGATGTTAACCGACTGGCTGATTACACGGCAACGGACCATATATTTGCATTAAGCCGCAACTCACCATAACTCATTACGTCCACAATTCTCTTTCGTCAGTCGGCAACATGTTGGCCGCATAAATCACAATTTGCCCTCTACTGCTCACAGGTGGACGCGACTAGCTATACTCGAATCCACGAAAACATTCGCTCGATTGTCATGCAAAGTCGAAACGACATAGGATCGTCGCACGTTTAATTGACTTTAACATCATCCGCGCTCTCGATAATCAGAGTCGTGACAGATTTTTAACGCGGGACGAAAACGTGAAATACCCGATTCCGGTAAATTTAGTTTCGATAGATCGATAGATATATATTTTTTCATCATCGTAGACGAGGTGGTCGATTGTCGATCGTATCGTTGGCCTCTCTTGGTCGGTCATGTCGCGTACGACTTTTGGGAATACAATTTGGGATAGGCGGTGGCGAAGGTGGCGCGAGACGACGAGTCGAGAGACGTCGACGCGGTGTGGCGCGTTGCGACAACGGTGGCCGTGTTTGTAGAACAATGTCCCCGCGGTATTACTAGAAATAAAAAAAACGGGATAGACGTGTCACCAGACGAGTGTAACGCCTCTCATATTTCCATTAAGTAAGGCAAGACACAGCCGGATAACGGATATAACGGGCGCGAGCTACGGCTTTTACCGTGATTAGTGCACGATGCAATGGGAAGGTTCGTAGGGTATATAGAGGTGCGTGAGAACGTTCTTGCATATTGCACGCATATAGTATAAACGCGTTTGGAATATTACGCGGCCGCGTACGCACGCTCCTCCTGGCAAAACGTCCATGGATTACGATACGAAGTCTAGCTCGCCCGTATTGGGCTCCTCCCCTGGGAAAAACTTTTGCACCGCCCTGAAATTTTGCTTCTTCTTCTATACGTATCGTGTGCTCGTCCGTTCGCTATCAAAACACGCACTTACACATCGGTTGGATAAATGAGATCCTTCGACGTTGAATCCATTAAGCCGGGATTCGGTTTTGCTCGCGACAAGCATCTTTAATAACGTTCGTGTCTCTGAATGTGAATACGGCCGAGGAGGAGAGGGAGGAGGTGTACATACCTCCCACCTTCTTTGCGTTATATTTTCACGCATAAAACCCTTATCGTTTGCGTAAGTACTATTATACGTTTGCAAAATAAAAAGGGGGAAAGAGAGAAAAAAAGAAAGAAAGAAAGAGGAAACCAGAAATGGAAAAGAAACGATAGGGAGGAAAAAGGAGAAGAAAACGTAACTTCTGAATTTCAGTCAAGGATCGTCGAGACGAGGTTTCGGTGAAACACATTCTATACGCGTGCTCTCTCTCTTTCTCTGTGTCGCGACACGGTCGTGCTCGCATTATACGGTCTGTCGCGACGAGAAATAGCGGAGACACGAAGGTGGCGGGTCTTCTACATTTACTTCTGTTCCGTAGAATCATTACTACGTCCCGAGCTAAGCCAAGCGTACGGGCGCCTGTTGACGGTACCCGTTGATGCGTTAAAGGGGCGAGGAGATAAGTTTTTTTCGCGAATTATGAAGGCGCTCATTCATTACGTGTTCCGTAATTGACGAGTTGTACGGAAGAGGATGGAACTGGATATCAACAACGCTCTCTTACCGTCAAGACTCTATCTTACCCGTAGTAACGTTATTTTTTTTCTTTTTTTCCTTTCTTTCTTTCTTTCTTTTCTTTCTTTTTTTCTTTCTTTCTTTAAACATCTCCATTACCGATCAAAGAATCTCGCTTACAACGTTCAATGAAAATTTTCTCGAAACTCGAGGGAGTATATTATTCGAGTTATGATAACAAAGGTAATTAAATAGAGAGGTCAAAAGTAATATTTGCCGCGGCAAACGTTATCGTACTCGGAGATTCGATTTCGTAATTCATTAGCATAAAATTTCCGATGAGCTATGCTTTGTTCACTCGACATTATAATAATTTAACCGAGAGCTATCGAACTCCCGGGAGGGGGAGGGGATCGCAATTGCCATGGACTGCAAAATTGGCTTCCACCTGATGCGAAATAGATGCAACTCCGAGCGCACCAAGTCCAATTCGTATCGTGGCAAATGCGGCAATAATTGGATTTCCGTAGGATCAATTGATAGAAAAAGCTGTTACGCGATACGTAAAATTTAATAATCGTTCGTTCGTGAATCGAATAATCGAAAAAAATCGAAATTTTTTGAGAGACGAAACACTCGCCTTTACATTAATATATTATTATTTGGAAAGTTTGGACGAAACCTCGTCCCTTTGCTCTTCCTCTCGAACGTTTCGTCCCTCATTTACGAGCCTTTATGCGCTCGTAAAACCACGCCAAGCCTCGTTTCCCGAATTGATTACTCTCACCCCGGCACAACGTTATCCCTTTACCTAACGGGTCACTAATTAAAAGCAGGGGAAAAGTCGATCGATCTTCTCACGCGACGATCTTGAAACAGTATATCCGCTTGCTCGATTCCCGGGATATATACAGAGGAGACGCGTTCGGTGGTTTCTTCGTCGTCGATGGGGGAGGGGGGTTTCTTACTCGAGCGGACATTTACTCGTTACTGCAGAGCACGTACACACACACATACACACACATACACTCTCTCGTTCGCTCTCCTTCTTCCTCTTCTTTTTAATCACTCTTGCCCCGACTCTGGCGTATCTGGTTTCACCTCGCCTCTTCTCTTCAAGCTTTCCCGTTAAACGAGAGCTGACAAAAACACGTGTAACTTTCAATTGGCTGTGCAGCCACTCGAACATTCTCGACGGGCCTCCTTAATTGAGTTAAATAAATTTCGCTCTGTCTACCATGTGTGTCCACAAAGTAGGACCAGCCTTCGTGGACCACGACACGCATCGGTGATCGAGCAATGGTAAGACGAACCCACCCGTTCTGCTCCTGTCGTGTTGTTGCAAAGGGTTGTTGGAATTGAGCAGGGGTGGGAGGGAGAGAAGGAGAGGAGGGAGGAGGGAAAGGGTGTGACGAAGAATTCGATAAACGAATTCGAAGGAAATTTATTTACCTAGGCCGGGGTGCTCGGTGCTCGAGCATTCACGGTC